CGATTTCTAAGAAGAATAAATTGCAGGGCATGTGTTTTTGACTTCTTCTAACTACAGATAATCCTTGACCTATAACCACAGTTGAGCCCAAAATTTCCATGGCTAAGGAAAACAGTTGTTAACTGAGTTGCAGCCCATTTTATGGCCTTTTCGCCACAGTTGTTAAGCAGATCACGGCAGTTGTTAACTTAGTATCGTGGTTGTTAAGTGAACCTGGTTGCTTGTAGGAAGCCAGTGGAGAAGGGTGACAAAAGGTGATCACATGACCCCGGGACACTGCAAGGGTCAGATGTATATGTCAGTTGACAAGCATCCAAAATTTGATCCTGTGAACAAATGGGGATGCCACAATGATTGCAAGAGTGAACACCAGACATTAAGTCACTTTTTTTCAGTGTTTTTGTGGCTTTGACTTACAACACATGGTTGTAAGTCAAGAACTACCTGTACCATGCTCCTGTCACTTGCAGAATCTGAACAGAGGTTTGCCTGCCTGCTGAACGGCAGGAAGAATTGCAGCCACAGAAAATAACAGTAAATAATCTCCAGTATTAAGAATGGGATGAGAGAGTTTGATGACTGCAACTTCCTACTGACACCAGGTTTAAAGAAAATAATGCCACAGAGAGGAGGGGGGGGGGGTGAAGCTATTTTACAAAGCACACGAAAGTCAGCCAAGGAACAATGGATGGAAACTGAAGAAGGAGAGGTTCAATTTGAAAATAAGGAGAAATTTTCTAACAGTGAGAGCAATCAACCCATGGAACGGAAGTTGCCTTTGGAAGTTGCTAGAGCACTGTTTCTCAACCTTGGCAACTTGAAGATGTCCGGACTTCAACTCCCAGAATTCTGGGAGTTGAAGTCCAGACATCTTCAAGTTGCCAAGATTGAGAAACACTGTGCTAGAGCCTCATCATTGAAGGCTTTCAAGAAGAGACTGGACAGCCATTTGTCAGAAATGGTGTAGAGTCTCCTGCTTGGGGCGGGGGGGGGTTGGACTAGATGATTTACAAGGTCCTTCCGATGCTGTTAATCTGTATCTAAAAATACAGGAGACGTGTTCTGGAGCTAGAATGGGGAGATCTAGAATCAAATTTGCATTTGCCTATAGAACAATTGGAAGACTTGGGACCAGTCTGAGTTTCTTCCTCTAGCCTACCCCACAAGGTTGATGTAAGAATGGGGTCTAGGGGAGGAAAAGAATAGGCATGGACCTCTTTGAGTTCCTGAATGAAAAATAGCCATAAATAATTATGAATGAAGGTGAATGTATTTGTCCCAGGATAATGTTCAGGATCTGATCTGGGTTGGTCACTGGGACCAGAGGTTTTGTCTTCTGAGCTTTAAGACTTGCTGGACCATATCTTCAGGGAACATCTCTAGACAGGGTTAGAGAGAAGTTCCCTGAAGAAGGGCTCCAAAACAAAACCTCTGACAGACCCAGATTGGATGCTGTAATACATAATTAATCATAAAGGTTTGAAGATAATGAGATTCAAATCATGAATCATCCAGGTTAGAGTAAACTGGTTTCAGCGAACTGGAGAATTAGAAGTGTGAAACTGGTGTAGAACTGGGCAGACAGTTCAACAGCCTGGGGCTATAGAGGGTTTTCCAGAGAGGAATAACCTATAGTTTGAGTTTATAGCTGGCTCGCTCATGATGTGATGTTGCTAAGAGTCAGCAGAATTCCAGCTTGAAGTTCTACTTTATTGGGGGCTTTAAAATTTTAATCAACGTATTTGTATTCCAACCTTAAATTCCATTACCTGAAATCTGCTGCAAAAGATTAGCCGTCAACTTAGCATTTAAAACATCTCAGCCTGGAAATATATTCACAGGCACAAAATTGAATAAATTTTACAGTCCTTCTATGCTAATGTTCCCTGGGGTTTTTAGAATTTCAGCTGGATGGGAATTGGAACTCATTCATTGAAGTTACTGCAAAATATGCAGAAAATATGAGTATATATCTCACCAGATCTTTTCTAAGTATTGGAGTAATGAAGATACTGAAAGGGACATTTCCCTACTTCAATTTTCATGTTATGCTTGAATTTGTGGATAGTTGCAGACTAATCAGGCTGGTTAGTTAAGTCACTCACCTAAGAAAAGCAAAATGTAACGTCAACTTTTATGGATTGACTATCTGTTCCTCCATTCTATTTAACAGCTGTTAATTGAAACTTCTAGGAAGCCCTCTACCATCTATCAACCTTCATCAGATCTCACCGGCTCAAGGTTGACTCAGCCTTCCATCCTTCTGAGGTGGGTAAAATGAGGACCCAGACTGTGGGGGCAATATGCTGACTCTGTAAAC